ATCATTTTCTTGGACGGTCTTTAAAACAAACTATGGAATAAGGACCTAGTTCCAGTAACCAGATGTGGACTCTGAGCAGGCAACTTCGTTTATAAAATGAAAATTATATTAAATTCTTTCTAAAGTTACTTTAACTCTAACATTTCATGATTGCATAAATTTCATTCCTTGGGAAAAAATGGCAATTCCAAGCTGACATTGTGAGACGAAAGGGAGTAACAGAACTGTGTTTACTGTAGAAAGATCTTGTCCAACATTATGACTTCAAGAGTGACAGTAAGGAATGTTAAAAAGATAAGAAATTTAAGACAGAAATTACTGAAAAAGTATTATTTACACATTAAGAGCAAAACACAAAAAAGAACAATAAAGCAAGCTCCAAAACATGTCCCCACAAAATGGGCAGCGCTCTACACTGGGTCATTTGTTCCCACTCGGATGACGTCATCATGCGAGGTTTCACTACTTTTAATAACTAGTACATTTCAGCCATCTCTCACTCTCTCCCACATACGATCAAATCAGCCTCTCAATGACCTACACTTCATGAGTCATAATTTTTCTGTTTATGATTCAGAAAATGTCTTCAGTCAGTCTTTCCCAGACTGCTGTGGGTTTATTCCAAGAACCAATTTCATCTTCATTGGTTTCCTACAGGAAACCAGACCAACTTCCTATTATTTTATTTTCCTTACTTTTAGCATACCATAGCCCACATCAAATTAACTGGAAGTGAGAGTGATAGAAGACTTTACTCTGTGCAAAAGAGAAGCCAACACAAACAATGCCCAGTCTAGAAGTCACGGATTCAAAAGTAAATACAAAATGTGCTAATATTAGAACCTTCTTTCAAAAGAGTTCCAAACTAAATAGCAAGAAATGCATTTTAATTAACGCTGCTGCAAGCATTCCACTGACAGAAAGAACTTCTGTTTAAAAACTACTGTCTATATCCCCAGAAGAGGAGGTGGTGGGGGAGAGATAAACCACAGAACTTATATGCATGTACGCATGAACAATGGACATGGACAACAAAGCTGGGGACAGGGAGGGTAGGGAGGGGGAGGGGGGATCAGTGGGAGGGAAAGGAGAAACATCTGTAACAAAGATAATTAATTAAAATATATATAAATAAATAAAAACTACTGTCTATGAATGCTATAGATCCTACAAAGCTAATTAATATAAGAAATTTATTATGAAAAAACAAAATATGTATTTTCTATCCTAATCCCTAACAAGCTGCTAGGAGAACAGGCAGACAACTGAGCCCAACACACAGAGCCTGGGAGTTGTGGGGATAGAGCAACATCTCCAGAGCAACTTGGCAGTCCATTCTCACCAGCTGGCCATGCCAGCCCCTGCCCCACCCACTCCCTCCATGACTAAGGATCGATCTGACCTTAGATCACAGCAGAAATAGTGGCACGGTACATGGGTGTGTAAAGGACGTTCGGACAGTGGCTTGTACTCATGCTATTCTCCTAAAATACTAGGAGTACCCGAGAAGTATTTATTCTCATGGACTACATACTCTGAAAATGGTTTCTGAATGTGAAGAATTTGGGTATAAACATATATTGCATTCTCCTTACATCCTTTCCATTCTCGTCATTCCTGATCTTATGGGTATCGTTTTAGGCTTTAAATGCTCACACAGTCATTAACTGCCAAGGAACAGGGCTTTACCATGTCAAATTCCAAAGCTGACACATTAAAGAAAGAAGGACTCAGAAGAATGATTTAAAGCACATATTATATCTGGATAAACCAAGAAACCTGAAACATTAGAGCAGCAGTTCTCCAAGTAAAGTCCCCACACCAGGAACAGCATCGCTTGGACAGGTCCTAGGAAGGGAAGTTCTCAGACCCCACTCTAGACCTACTGAATCAGAAGTTCTGGGGAAGTGAGCTTTATCATATTCTCTCTCTTCCTCATACCAGGAAATTTCTAGAAAATACTCCACTCAATTTACATTTCCCTCACAACCCCTTAACTTTTAAACACTCTGTATCCTGACTACTCTTCTATTGTATCACTAAAATGCTCTTTTTAAGTCAAAAATCAACCCTAACCTAACCGCTGAGGGCAATGACTGTTTCCTGTGCCACATCTGAATTACCTAGCACAGCTGACAGCCCCTACTGCTTGAAATGGCCTTTTTTTTTTTTACTTCTGTGACACAATTCCACCTTCCTGCCTCTCCCTCTCCCACTTCCTGTCATCAGTGACTAGTCTTGCTCCTTCCACAATAAACATACATGCTTGACCCCAAGGCTCAATCTTCAGTCTTCTACTCCTCTTTTTTCAGCTATTGCTTTGGCATCTCAAGAACTCCCAGAACTCAATTTACATCTCTGTACCCCAAATCTCTCTCAAATCTCCCAGCATATTTTAAACTACCTCATGACCTGCTTCACTCGAATGTCTGTCCAGTACTACCAATGAAACATATCCAAGAGGGAGCTTCTCATGTCCTCTACCCGACTCCAAGAGTTCCTCCTTCAAAGCCTGGTTCCCTGCACACTTAAGTATCACTTTCTCTCTTCTCTGGCCCCCCATACCTTGCCAGGAAAGGGGTCACCTCTACCAGGCATCCTGTTTCACCTTCATAGTTTCCACTTCTAATGCCAGCATCTTCATCCAATAGCTTCCTATGTTTTCTGAAGCTCTACCTCAAGACTTCTACCTCTAAAACTCACCTCTGAATCCGAAGCTGCCCAAATGCAGCCTAGTTCTTACTTAGCCTTACCTCACATTTCTCCTCAACAAATGTTTAGCTCAGCTAATCTAGAATGCTCATCATGTTGTAAACATGTCCCAAGCTTTCTCACTTCTGACTCTTGGCCTTATATTATTACCTCCATTTTAAGTACCAGTTCCCACTATGTCTATAGATTTCCTTCCTAAACTTTCTCCTTGACAATATGCAGAATTCCCTCAAACTGAAGTTCTCTTTCACGCTTCTCCATAGACCCAAATACTTAATACCAGCCTCTGTCACGTGCCACCATGCACCCCTATGAAAGTTGAGATCCTTCACAACAGAAGTGGGTTTTACGCATGTTTGTGTCCTCCACTCTACCATGCATGCAAATATTTGTTCAAGGACTAAATGATCTTATAAGCCAAAATACATATTCAATTATGTACCATTTCTGCTAATTATCCAGCCTTTGGGAGCAGGCAAAACACTGTAAAAACAGATAAACTTCACATATGTAGCAACTTAGAAGAATCAACTCAAACTCCTATGTTTTCTACATGTATTACAGTACAACCACCCTCGAAGGATAACCAGGTACTATAGGCTCACTTCAAAGTGAGGAAAGTATATCAGACTTTTTAAATTGAAAAAACATTTTAGAAAAAAAAAAAAGACCGACTCACTTAATATCAAAATGGAAGGGAGGGAGGCCTTCTATAAATAAATCTTTATAAAATTTCCTGCATCTCACACCATGTGTTTGTAGCTTTCAGAGGTGATAAACTATCTACAATCCCAGAGGAAACTTCTTAATCTGAAGGAAATTAAATAACAGAGCATTCATTCCAAAATATTCTATTTTGTCTGGCAGATACTCTCATGGTTGGTCAGGAAGGCCAAGCAGCTAGATAAATTATAATGTGGAAGAAGATGGACTGATTGCTTCATTTAGGGATAAATAATTCATTCCTGGAGTGATAAAGAGTCACTGCTTCTCTATGGCAAAGAGGGGTGATAATCTCTCAAGGCATGGTACGCAGGATACTCTTTAAAAATGAGAAAACACACTTAGAATCATTTAGAAAAATAGCTCTGCTCTAACCTTGATACCTTTCACAGATCAAAGTTTAAGCTTGGACACAGAACAGAATCATCAGAAATTAAGAAAGGGGTTAAATTTCTTTTTCTTCTGAGACAGAACAGACAAGAAATGTTATTATTGATTTATATGTAGCAATCCTTCAAGTTAATATTTTAGAGAAAAATTATAAAGAGTCACACTCAATTTTTAAATTTGGTATCAGTGACAAAACTGAGCTTACCACAAGATTTCTCTATGTTCTATACCTGGTTTCATTTGACCTAATTTAATTACTCCCTTAAAATAACAGAGATATAAGAACAGGCATATAGCTTCCATTCTGCCCCAAGTTGGGATATGGAGAAATAGCAAATAAATAACAAATCACCTTAAATACTTTCTGAAAGAAGACTGCTGAATTCATTCATCAAACAGCAAAAAGTACTGATAGATTTTCTGGACTGTTTTAAGTTAGTTAATTTGCTCTTATTTCAAAGCTCCACTAACTATCCTGATTGTATAAGTATCTAAATAGATGTCACATCCTCCCTGGCTTCAGATTTCACTCACTCAAGTGAGCCCTAGAATCCAGCAACAAAACTTGACTTAAACAAACTTCTTAGAATCCCGGGGATGGGCTGCTCAGTTAACGCAAATTTGTTCCAGAATAAAAAACTAAAGAGAAGAAATCAGTATTAGCTGTATCATACAAGAGGCAAAAGAGTTTTTCTTCCAATGATTTTTACTACGTATAATAAAAAGTTAATTCTGTTAATTTTAACATATTATTGAGACTAAAAAATATTATTTTCTCAGTGATATAACCACTACCAAAAATTAATATTAAAATAGAAGTTTTATTGAGTTGCATTTTCTAACATTTTGACAAACACTCATTTACAATGTGATTTGAACTGGCAGAAAATAAATCAAAGTGGGCATCGTAATTACAAGATCAATCCAACATAAATGGATACTGCTATTTTAATGTTAGCAGTAAGATTTTATTATATCGTTCAATAACAGAGAATGTACTTCTTAAAAATGTATTAGTATTTCTACTAGGATTCACTAATACCCAAACTAATATTGATGATTAAATTTCAGGAAAGTGGTTGTATTTTACAGTATCAGAAACAACAGACAAAAAATAAAATACAGACTAATGAAGGAGCACAGCCAGAGAAACTATGACAATGGAAAGGGCTTACTTTGACGTGGCTCTGGGCTCCGAGGTTGTAGATCTCAGTGGGCTTGACTTCGTTAATGATCTTCACAAGGCAGGTGCTATCAGTGAGGTCACCATAGTGCAACTTCATGTCTTTAGGATTCAAAAACAGCATCAGATAGAAGAAAACAACATAAGCCCAATCTTTTAAAACATCAAAATTAAAATGCATATTCTGAAAGTCTGAAAATCAGATTGGTTCTGGATCAGCAGAATATTTAAAAAGTGAAATAGTGCCTGGCCGGTGTAGCTCATTGGTTAGAATGTCGGCCTGCACACCGCAGGGTCTCGGGTTTGCTTTCTAGTCAAGGGCACGTACCTGGGTTGCAGGTTCGATCCCCAGCCTCAGTCAGGGTGCGTGCATGAGGCAATCAATGAGAGACACATGGATGTTTGTCTCTCTCTCTCCCCTCCCTCCCCATTTCTCCCTCCTACTCTCTCTAAAAATCAATGTAAAGAATATCCTCGGCTGAGGATTAACAACAATAACAAAAAGTGAAATAATAAGAAGATATTCATATTTGTTGCTTGTGTCCGTACAGGATTTGTAAAAACGCAGATGAACTTTTTTTTAAAGACACAATATTATGACAGATGTTATACAATTAACATATCTTATGGCTCCCAGGTAGTTGTAAGATGTTACATAAGAGTGAGATTCAGACAAAGAAAATCTCGCCATAATGTGTATTCTCTCTAAAAAAAATCTAACACATTGATGAAAGTGAAGACAGCTATGTTCAAATACTTTTATCTAGCAATTTTTAACTACTTCATAAACATCAATCATTAAGCCACCCATGGAATGCTGAAGTAGTGGCATAACTAATTAAAGGAAAACTAACACCCACTCTAACACCAAATCTAGGCAGATCCTTACACTGACTTCATTAGTCAATGACACACGTATATGAGTGATTTGCTAACTTGATCTTTTCATTATTTTTACACAATTTTGATTTATGTCTAGATCCAATGGCAGTACCATTCTGTACTTTGCGCAAAAATTATAATAATTTTAAAGAGGATTAATGAATAACCTAAATATTAAGATGAAAAGCCTTTTCTAGGGACAACAAGGTCATCTTCCTGATGGTGTCACTACATGTACACATAACCCTACCTTCAAATATTCCAGGTTCCGGGGTAAATACGAAATCATTTATGGTTTACAAGCTGACTGGGTCATCCCTGCTTGCTGGAAAAACTGGATGAGTAAAGCAGGCTAAACTAGGAAGTCAAAAAATGCTGAGTCCTAGTTCCAGCTCTGTCTTTTACATGGTGTGTGGCCTGGACAAAGGGACAACCTCTCTCTGCCCCCATTTACTTATCTGTAAAATGGTCTCATTCACAACCTTGGGAGCTGCTGGAAATATCAAATGAGAACACATAGTGACGGTGCTAGGTAAACTGTACATCTACAGACAGACAATTTTATTAACAAAAATAACAACTGCAAATATTGACAAAGATTATACAGCAATTACATATAGTTTTTATTGCCGTTTTGTTTTGGGAACTGTGTTCATAAATTATTTTTAAAAGTAAATGTACAAAGATTGCTTACCTTAATTACATTAGACCTAATATAAAAAGCAAAAGAGTACTGTGAACATGGAGCTGACCTTACTTGAGGGGACAAGAATACCTGAAGAAGGTCCCTTGAGTGGCATGACCTGACCAATATCCTTGTAACAGCCTAACCAAGATGACACTGTGACCCCGGGGAGCACACAGCAGCAAAGGGTTTCCGAAGCATTCAATACAGGTAATTCGTGGAAATGATGATGGGCTCAGAGAAAAAGAACATTTGAAAATACTTCATAATACAGGAAGTTACAGAAAGAGATTTTAGAAAAATACCATTCCTTACTTCCTTCAATATGAGCCTGGGGGTTTTTATACAGATGTTCAATTCGGCCGGTATTGAATGAACTGGATCTCCGTACAATTCCATGAACCTGCATTTTTATATTATGGAAAGATAAGAATAAATTAGAAATGTGCAATGAAGAGTAATAAGCAACTCAAAAGTTCTTTTGCTAATGTTTAGCCTTTGAAATATATTATTATAAAACATTTTTTTTTTTTTATCCTCACCCAAGGACATTTTTGTTCAGATAGAGTGGGAGGGAGAGAGAGGAAGAGAGAGAGAGAGAAATATCGATGTGAAGGGACACATCGAGTGGCTGCCACCCGCACAACCAACCAGGGCCGGGGACAAACTGCAACCGAGGCACGTGCCCTTAGCGGGAACCGAACCCGGGTCTCTCAGTACCGCAGGTCGACGCTCCAACCGCTGCGCCAAACCAGCCAGGGCTATAAAACTTATTTTACATTATTAAAAGTCCCACCGCGTACAGTCTCCCAAAGAGCCGCAGGCACGCTCCCTCCATCTCTCGCCAGTGTCTCCACTGCCAATCTCAACGAAAGTAATTAGATAATTACGTGACTTCACAGCAAGTGTTTAGTTGCAGATACTCAAATGTCTCCTGTTCCAAACACACACTTACAGTCCTACTGCTGACAAAAATATCTCTTAAATTTGAAAGTGAAGACAGACCACATGAGGCCATATCAGCAAAACAGGCTTGTGACCTCTCTAACATAGAACATGACGCTGAAAGGCTGTGACGCCACCACATCTTTCCAGTGTCCTCAGACCTTTGTATCTTACATTTATTAACATACACACACACACACACCTAGGTCCACAAATATAATCAGAGAGCAGTTGCTGTTTACAGCTACGTGGAAAAGTAAGAAAGCTAAATAGCATAGTTTGGGGACAAGACTTACTACCAAAGACGTGAGAAAACCCAAATGAAGACAGGACTTTTTAAAAATGTTATTTTATTTATTTTTGTTATAGATGTTTCTCCTTTTTCCCCCTAGACACCCTCCTACCGATACCTCCCCATAACAGCACTGTTGTCTATGTTCATTGGTTATGCACATATGCATATAAGTTCTTCGGTTTATCTCATCCCCACCCTGAAAAGAGGACTTTTTAAAAATTTTTTATCTTTGACTTAACCATGATCAGTGTGAGGGGGAAAAAGTCACTGGAACAAGGATGCATGCCTGTCTAATACTGAAGAAAAGACTATTTGTGTCTGATACATAAGATAAATTGTTCAAGACCTGGTACCACTTCCTTCTTCTGTCAAGATTGCTCCCTTTGTGCTGCCAATGCTAACAACAGCTATGTCACTGGCTGTCCAGACCCAGTTCCACTGGTGGCAGTTTTAATCCTCCACTTATTTCAGAAGTGTTCTTTCTAATGTTGGGTAATTTCATTTGCAGCTGAATAGACGTCTATATTTTAACTAAATCGTGTTCTGTCTATTCCAAACAAAAATTAATCCTTCGCATGACTCAAATATTCCAAGTGCAATGGGAAATTATAAGCATATAAGACTTTCTTTCAAATAGAAAGAAATGCCATCGTTAGTTCGTATGACATACATGAGAAACTGACATCGGCAAAAGGGTACCACACACACTCACAATTAATTCTGTTAGCTAGCTGCTTTGTAGTAAAAACTAAAAGTATTCATCCATTCTTTTCTCCCAAAGAACTAAACCAAAAAAATTTTTGGTAAACACGAAAATATTTTAAGAAGGGAACGTCACAACCTTGATTGACATTTTAAGAGGTAAAATCTAGAAAACATTAATTTGATATTTGGGTATACATATCCATTTCTTAACTTAGAAGTGAAGAAAGCAACAATTACATTAACCTTAGGGTTTATTCTACTTGATAGTCTCCAATTTTTCAAACTGTTCTTAATTGGAAAGTTGAACTGCTCTATAAACAATAAATGTTGTTTAATAAACTTATACATAGCAAAATTGGCGTTTACTACCAAAGTTATTTTTGAAATACAAATTTCTCAGCTTTATTTCATTGGCTACAATAATTTATATGTTCTAAAAACAGATTATGTAACTTTGACATTGAAAAAATAAATAAAAATAAGGTTTATTCTATTTTTTCTCTTGATTATTTAATTCTGGGTAAGTCACATACCCAACTCGAAGAGAAATGCCATATACAAACACACTGTATACAAAAATATAAGCTCTGATAAAAAAGGAAATTATATTGATGGATTCAGTATGAAAATCAGACAACTACACAAACTCACAGCATATAAAAACCACAAGTGTGACAGTAAAGTGTTAAGCACTAGTTCTTTTTCGGTGTTTTGTTTTGTCTTAATACCAAATAATGTGTTTTAATTTTCCCTCACTCCCAACTTTTGGTGCATGTACACAGGGAAAGAAAGACCTGCCAAGTGCTTAATCCATGACAGCAAGTGTTGTTCTAAGAACTTATGAAAGCTAAGTCTGTCTGCTTCTGAGACAGGTGAAATATAAACTTTAAGACAAGCCAAAATGTGTGCAAACTGGATAATCTAGTTAAGAATTTGAGATTAGTGGATTTCTCTTTACAGAAGGGATGTAAGTAGAGGTTTTTTTGTTTGTTTGTTTTTATAAGGATTTGGGGGGGAAAGAGATGGGAAGTTAGAAAAACAAAGTGAAAAGACATATGATTCCATATAAACTTAATCAAAATAATTATTAAATTACAGCTCAAAAACAAAACATAATTCTAAAAAACTGAGGTCCTAAAATAAATGAAAGTGAGTATTTTGACAAATAAATTTCATGTCCCATTTAACTAAGTGATGAAAAAGAAAACTTCAAGTTCCCTGTGTCAAAACAAAGTCGGTTTGATTTCAAAACATAGTCAGATTAGGTAATAGAGAAATCCTTCCTTCCTTCCTTCCTTCCTTCTTTCCTTCCTTCCGTCAGTCCCTCCTCCCTCCCTCCCTCTATCCGTCTCCATTTCTCTCCCCCTTCTTGCATCCTAAAAATCCATTTGTTTATTTATTTAATATAATAAAAAAATTAGAAAATTTTTACCACTGGATTTCAAATTATTCAGTGTCTAGATTTTTTTTGGAGGCAAGGACGCCTTCCTGGGATGTTTAATGCCACTTGTTAGTCTTTCTTGAAAAGTATAGGTTATGTGGGTAACATCAATAGCTAACATGTACATGGCAGTGACTATGTGCCAGGTACTGTTTTGTGTGTGTGTGTTTTTATCCTCACCCAAGGACATTATTTGCATTTATCTTCAGATAGAGTGGGAGGGAGAGAGGGGTGAAGAGAGAGAGAGAAACATCGACGTGAGAGAGACACATCGACTAGTTGCCACCCACACAACCCCAACCGGGGCCGGGGACAAACCACAACCAAGGTATGTGCCCTTAGCAGGAATCGAACTCGGGTCCCTCTGGTCTGCGGAGCCAAACCAGCCAGGGCTGTGTGTGTGTTTTTTGTGTTGTTAATCCTCACCCGAGGTTATTTTTCCATTGATTTTCAGATAGAGTAGAAGGGACGGGGTGAGGGAGAGAGAGAGAGAGGGAGAGAGAGAGAGAGAGAGAGAGAGAGAGAGAGAGACACACACACACACACACACACACATCGATTGGTTGCCTCCTGAACAACCCTGACCTGGCCAGGATAGAACCTGCTACCCAGGTACGGGCCCTTGACTGGGAACTGAACCTGAGACCCTCCTCCATGAGCTGGCGCTCTAATCATTGCACTAAACCACCCAGGGCAACCAGGCACTGTTCTTTATAGATACTAAAGCACCTGATCCTCACAACAACCTTCCTATTACTACTCCCATTCTATAGATGAGACAGAGACCACGCAGCTAGTAAGTGGTCATGTTAAAGGGTGGGCATGGCCTTGCTGGGTGGGTCGATTGGTTGGAGCATCGTGTCCTACACCAAAAGGAGTGTGGGTTGACTCCTGGTCAGGGCACGTACCTGGGTTTCCTGTTCAATCCTTGGCCGGGTGTATATGGGAGGCAACCATCGATGCTTCTTTCTTTCTCTCTCTCCTCTCCCTCCTCTCTCTCCTCAGCAAGGAACTTTTTTTAAAAAAGGGTGGACATGGTTCATCATGCTAACACTCAGTATGGTTTCAAAATCAAATCCATAAAAAGTTTTTTTTTTCACCACAGATTCTGGGATATTCAGCAACCCAGAAAAGCAGTTCACGGATTTTCACAGATCAAGAATGGAAGCAAAAAAACTCCATATTCTAACAAATAATTTTCCAGAGATAACAATTAGACAATATTTATATCCCATTTCTGTCTCCTGATCTCCCTAGTTATGCTACCTGTCCTGGGAGGAAAACTCACAATTTACCTATTCTTTATTTCAAATGCTTATATGCTTTGATGTAGTTGTTACCAAGTAATTTAATATAGATTTTTCACATATTCCCAGATAAATTTTAGCTTTTAAAGAGTTTAATTCTGTCCTTCATTCATTTGGTTTCTCTCTGTATTTTGTGCAGTTTGAATTCAATGTTATTTTGTATTAGTTTCAGGTGTACAAAAGTATGCTGTTGGCTTACTGCTAACAATGATGCTAGGAAAACACTGGAAACTAGAATGTAGTTTCCTAAGCTTCATTTCCTTTTTTTGGTTAATCCTCACACAAGGATATTTTTCCATTGATTTTTTAGATAGAGTGGAAGGGAGAGAAAGAGAGACAGACAAACACCAATGTGAGAGACACACATCTATTGTTTGCCTCCTGAACGACCCCAACCCGGGGCCAGGGATCAAACCTGCAACACAGGTATGGGCCCTAGACTGGGAATTAAACCCGCAACCCCTTGGTCTCTGGGACAATGCTCGACCACTGAGCCAAACTGGCCAGGGCAAGAAGCTTCACTTCTGTCAGTTTTTCTTTTTCCCTCATGATGAGAAGGAATGTGCACAAGGCTAGGATCCTGGGCAATGTAAACACACCTGCCTTTCATTAATGCTAAATAATGAACTGGTCTAAGGAACCCTCTGCAAAGCCTGTGGCCCTCAGCTTGTCAGCATCAGGTAATGTGTCGCTCTCTCATTCCTGTATCA